CTCTCTCTCTCTCTCTCTCTCTCTCTCTCTCTCTCTCTCTCTCTCTCTCTCTCTCTCTCTCTCTCTCTCTCTCTCTCTCTCTTTTGCGTGCGCGCACGTGTGGTCAACAGGTATGGACTGGTGACAAGTGTGGCTTAAAAGGCATGGGATATTTGTTATAATTAGCCCAGAAAGCCCCTGAAAATTTAGGGCTCTGTTAACCATCTTTCACACACACATTCAACTTGATTCAAGTTAGTTGTCTCTGTGAAGGTAAGGATGCACCGACGATATCATTCCGCTTGGCCTCGAATACATCACGAAGATGTGTCCAATTTCAAACCATATGCTACCATTAGGTTTCAAGGTTCAAAATTACGTGCCTGAGTTGCTCGAACAGGGGGTTTACGCAATGCTGAACGGCTTTGCGACAGTTTGTGTGCTATTCAAAGAAAGCATGTGAAAAAGTGAAAGGAAAGCTCCAATTGCGTAAAAGGAATGTTCTGCTTTCAGACGACCGACGTCAGGCCTGCGATTGGGTGGGCATGGGGTTGTTGTCGGAATCGGGTTGGGAACAGGTTATTGAACTTCAGGGACAAAGCTTGACTAAGGTCCCACCTCAAGCATGGGAAGAGAACAACGTGGTCTCCCTTGATCTGTCCAAGAATGCCATATCAGCGTTGCCTCCGGAGCTCGAGAGATGTACTTCTCTCAAGGTGAGTGCTGCCTCAAGCTTTCAAGTAACCAACCGACTGCTTTGAGGAAATGTAACAATGTTCAGAATATTCGACCTAACCGCTTTCGAGTCTTTTCACAGTCTTCAGGAGGAAATGTTCCTCGTTTGACGGTCTCTTGATGTGTCAGAAATTTTGAGAATTTGATTCGTTGGTAAGTTTTTATGCGTCAGAAATTTTGAGAATTTGATTCGTTGGAAGTTCTTATGTGTCAGAAATTCTCAGAATTTGATTCGTTGGAAGTTTTTATGCATCAGAATTTCTCAGAATTATATTCGTTGGAAGTTTCTATGCGTCAGAAATTCTTAGAATTTGATTCGTTGAACGTTTTTATGCATCAGAAATTCTGAGAATTTGATTCGTTGGAAGTTTTTATGCGTCAGAAATTCTCAGAATTTGAAAATCTCTGAAACGTGTAGTGAGCAGAGTATCGATCTCACTCACAACGCCAACTCATACCAAGTGGGAAATTCAGGAAAAGAGAGAAATCATCTCAGAAATGATAATAAATTAATATAATTTAATAAATTAACAATATTATAATAATCATTCAAGGAAGTACGATATTGACGTCTCGTCTCCTCTCCTCCCCTTGTCTCCTCGATGTTTCCTTCCTTCTACTCGCTACGCTACCACCCCATGTCATCGTTAACCTCATGGCTTATCTACAGTCTTGTGAAAACTCTTTTTGGAAGGTCGACCATTCGATCGTTGCCTTTGAGCTTTGCATTTTTGAAATCCTTGTTCTTCATTCCATTTCGCTGCACTTCATGCTCTTCCCTTTCCAGCGGCAGTTTTTTCCATTTCTTATCTGTTTCGACCCTTTTCAAAGCTGCAGCTCATAATTCTAATAAAGAAGTATCCTCCATTCATTCATTTTAATATGATTTATTCATGTTTCACCAGATTCTATCCCTTGCCGACAACAAGCTTTCGGAGTGGCCAACCTCACTTTGGTCATCATTGATCTCTCTGCAGCAGCTGTTTATGGCGCGGAACCCAATCAACGAGGTAAGCAAGCATCAATGGAGATGATATGTGTAATTTCTCACGATCGAGATGGGAGGGGAAAAGAGTAACTTCATTTCAATTGTCCGTACAACATCCATCGTGGCATTCCTATACAGAATTGTGCCATTATCAGTGCCTCTATGCCGGGGGAGTGGGAAGGGATAGGAAGGACGAGGTTGGGGGCTGGGTTGGCGGGGCAAAGGGAGAGAGACAGACGGAGAGGCAGAGACAGTGAGCTACAGAAAGAAAGAAAGAGGTGGGAGAGAGACAGAGAGAGAGCGAGAGAGAGGGAGGGAAGAAGGGAGAGGGAGGGAGGGAGAGAACAGTCAGACAATCAGAGATAAACTGTTAAAGAAAGATCTTTGAACCTCATCTTGTTCTGCCGTTAGGCATGACATGCAAGCAGCATTTTGTGCTTTGTCTTTCTGTTGCGGAGAAAGCAGCATCACATATAGTCATTGTTCTGTCTGGCACGAGGGTGAAGATGCGCATTGTGTGCCTGGATGATATATAACCCGAGTGATCATTTTTCGGGGTTCGCGATTACCTGTCCAATACGCATTATAGACATGATGTCACGGTTGGTTCATGAACACCCCGGTAGAGGTTGGGTTTAGCCGCCAGTACTTTTCCCAGCCATTTTTCTACAGCGCGGCCGTGCATGCGCCGTGTCTGGGAGGATGTACTGGCCTGCCATTCCGCGCAGTCTTCTTCCAGGCAAAAGAAGTTGTGTGCACGGGCCCTTTTGCCTGGATGCTTTTTGAGTGAAACGGCAGTGTGCATTCCGCCAGACGCAGCAAGTGAACAGTACTCGTGGCTGGGGGAAGTACACTGCTGGTTTAAACAACCAGTTCCAAAGGCACTTCGGAAAGTGGATGACTTGGCAAGGGGGTGCAAAGGGGGGGAGAGGAAGCAGAAAGTGCCATAAACCTCTTGGGCGTACTGGTAGCAGTGTGGAGCAAAACAATGTGAGCATTTGCTGCTGTAATTTATTTGGTAATCTTAGAATTTTTTTTTTTTTTTTTTTATATGGTTTCCCAAAAGATCAACAGCAAATCTGCGGGCCTGATTGTTTTTTTAGAATCTTTTGCGCTCAGTTCTGAGTGTGAAAAGTCGTCAAAGTCAGTACATTTAACTTTTTCTGCGCGCTGCCGATGAGTCGATGACTGCCCACGGCCGGTAGACGGGACCGCTCGCCCCCACGACCTCACCATGACACGGTGCACTCCCAGGGGTGGCATGTTCAGATTGTCACAGGGACCGGTTTAAGAAGACAGGGTGGGCGACAAAGTGTGCAGGGGATCCCGATACGTTGGGAAAAAATGCTCGTTGACAAGAAACTTTCGCAGTACCAAAACCGTCAAACAGACTCAAACTAAATCAAAGACCCCATCCACGAATATGATTGGTATATTTTAATATTTATTATTTATGCTAGGATTTCGCCATCAACATGATTGCCCGTGAAATTAGACGCCTGTTTCAAGATTTAGGTATTGAAATAAATGAGATTATTCCAGACCAGAAGGCAATTATGTGAACTTAATCATCTTAAAATTCTTCCTAGAGGAAAAAAGAAAAAAAAAGAAAGTCTCCTTCGAATGCTCATCTGCACCCAGATGGATTGAATGGGGAACTTGAACCCCGTCAACCCAGGACTGCAAAATAAAAAGATGCCCAAACATGATCTGGCATCGAAGACCCCATGTTTGGATTTTTTTCAGAATCATGAGATGTCACTGGCACTGTGCTGCACGAGCTCAAGTTTGGAAGCAAGCTGTTCCGAACCGTATTCACGAATTGCATTCCTCACAAGTCAGAAAAGTTGAGAAAACAGAATATGTTTGGCAATTGGTTAGCACTACTTAGTAGTACTTAGTAGTACTTAGTAGTACTTAGTACCTGTGCTAGCTTCGGTCAAATTTCGGTCACTTTCTAGTATACCCATCGGTGCCAGCTTTCCGGGTTTCGTTAGGGACCAATTCACTCGGCGACTCTGCGTATATTGACTGAACGCAGAAGCCCTTGAACTTTCGGCGATTATATTTTTCACCTGATTTTTTGTTACTCCCCCCGACAGAGGAGGAAGCAGGAGGAGGAGGAGGAAGAGGAGGAGGGAGGAAGGAGGACTGTGATATTTCCTGGGACGGAGAAGACCAAAATTGTAGAGTAGTCGCTACTAAGGAAGTAGATGACCACGCCAATGCTTGAGTACCTCCATCTAAAAGGAGGAGGAGGAGGAGGAGGAGGAAGAGTGGACCATGATTGAGCAGGATGAGGAAGGAGATTTCACATCGCATGGAGACTATTGCTCAAGAGTAACGTCTTTAGAAGTCGATAGTCAACAGGCATTTGGAATCTTGGAAAGTATTCTCCAAAGTTCAAACACAGCACGCTCCCCACCATTCACCTTCTTTGGTCATCGAAAAGATGTGCAGCAGCAGCAGCCAGATGAGGTGTGGCCATATGGTTCTGGACAGGAGATGCAGAGTAATAGTATGCAAAGTTGCGAAACTTGTGTTATCACTTATATCACCCTACGCGAATAACGAAAAGAAAACCGGAGGCAACCGAGAGCCCTTGCCATTGTGGTTTTACCTCCGCACCCGACAGGCGCCAGTTGGACACCCTGCAGGGCGTTGACTGACGGCAGTCCCTTTTTTTTCTGGTGACTGGCTGACTGCAGTTGTCTCTCTGTTCACTTTTTTTTTTCTTTTTTTTTTTCACGGAATTAATCGGACAAATCACTCCACCAACAAAGAACAGGCCGTGCACCACTACCCATGGAATCGAGAAAGAGCACTTTATTTTATAACTTCGTCTTTTTATTTCATCTTAAGCTCTCTCAGCCTCTGTGTTAACTTTTCAAATGTGTGTGGTGGATACAGTTCCCGCAAGACGCATTTTCGTCACTGGGTAAGCTCAAAGAACTGGATCTGACGGGAGTTGCTGCGCCTCTCCCCGCATCGCCTTCTCTTTCTCTAATGCCGTCACTCGAGCGGCTGCATCTTCGGTAAGCCGTCCGTCCCTACCTTATCTCCCCCCCCCCCCCCCCCCCCC